TTGGGGAAGAAGGCAGGAAAATACCTAGTCAATAAATCAGAGGTTATTCTTAAATATTTTTACTAGATCCCTTATTATTCACATTTATTGGTTGGCCTTATCACTGTAAAAACAAGAATCACAAGATTTTTGACAACCTACACACAAACATCCATGCCTCTAGAAATCCATCTGGAGCATTTTGCTTTTTCTTCTTTGGGGCCATGTGTATGGAAATCGAGTTTCCCCAATTTCCACCACTTGTCATTCTGAGCATAGAAACCAGTTATATTATCAATGGTCTAGTCCCCAGTTGAAATAAACTCATATAGTGGAAAAATACAAGTGAGAACAAGCAAAGGTTTCTTTAGACTCCTCTCTGTACAGATTAAAGTTTTACAGATTAAAGATTAAATTGAAATTCAACTGGGAAAAAGAACATACCAACAGCCAGCCAGGAAAATTCTGAAAAAGAAAATGGGAAAGGATAAGCTCACCCTGATACTTAGACATGATAAAAAGCTACAGTAATTAGTTTGGGAGTGAAGAAGCAGAATTTGAGTCAATAGAATTGACGAGAGAATTCAAAAACTGATAGAAGCCTATTTGATAAATGAGTATTTCAAATAAGTGGTCAAAAAGAATAGATTATTCAATAAATGATTTGAGGCAACTAGATAACCCATTAAGAAGAAAATGAAGTCAGATCCCTATCTAATTTGTAGCAATTAAGTAACTTCCAGGAATATCTTAGATTTAAAGGCTTAAAAAACTGAAATCATGAATATTCTAAAAGAATCAATAAATGCATTCAAAATTTCAGAATGGGAAAGGCCTAAGCAAGATACAATTCAGAAATCATGTGACTACATGAAAAATTATTTATTAAAAATTGTATGTTGTTAACCGCTATATATAAAAATAGATTAAAAAATAAATTTCTTCTGTATAGTACAGGTAACTATATTCAGTATCTTGTAATAACCTTTAATGAAAAAGAACATGAAAATGAATATACATATGTGTTTGCATGAGTGGGACATTATGCTGTATACCAGAAATTGACACATCATAACTGACTACACTTCAATTAAGAAAAAAAAGAAATTGTATTTAAGACTGGGGAGGATATTTGTAATACATATGTGAAGGAATAATTTCTTTAACATATAGAGAAGTTATATGAATCAAGATTAAGATAGCTAGTCTAAAAAAATAAACAAAGGATATAAACAGATAATTTACAGAAAAAAAGAAAATGGTCAAACAGCATGGGAAAAATTCATCACTTATAATTAAAGAAATGCAAACCAAAAGAAAAGGTTAGTTCTGCCCACAAAATTGGCAATAACTTTTAAAGTCTGACAAGGATGAGGGCTGACACTGTTGGTAGAAGTACAGGTTTATGCAACATTTTGAAGGCAATTTGATAATATCTTGCAAAATATAGAGTATATGCACTCTTTGACCTAGCAATTCATTACAAGGTATTCATCTAAAGCCACACTTGCAAGATATACAGAATAACATGTTTATTGTAGCCAAAAAAGGAAACAACATGTGCTTTTTTAGCATTATAGTTCTTATTAAATAAAATATGACATATATACTGTGGAATATCATACAGCCTGTGGCATGAGAAGGAAGACCTATACTAGCTGATAATGGAAAGATCGCCAAGCCATATTATTGAGTTACAATAGGAAATGCAGAATAATGTGTAAAATATAATCCTTTTGTATGAATAAAAAAATAGAAATATTTTTATATGTTGGGATATGCATAACTTCTTTTCTGGAAGGACGCACAGAAAAACTATTAATAGTTAATACCTATGGGAATCATTTAGAACCTTTCTATACTGTTTGACTAGGCTTACTACGAGCGGGTCATACTTTATTTTTTATGTCATAAGCATTATGGGCAATTTCCTAAAATATATTTCACCATTCTGGTACTCTTAATGAAATAATGGAATTAGGCAAAGATCACAAAAAGAAAGACAACTAAATAGCATATGCTTCCTATTATAAGTACACAACACATAGTACAACATATTTTTGGCAAAAAAGAAAAAATTGTCAGAACTGAATCTGATTACCTCTTAACTATAATCTATAGGAAATACAGAGGTATAGAAACATGTTTCACAACACTGTAAGAATAAAATCAGAAAAATCAGACTCCTCAAGGCAAAAAAAAAAAATCAGCATTTTCTTCAACAAATAAATTGCAACAAGGAAAATAAAAAGAGACAGAGGAGGGGACACCAATAGATTAGAAGAGTCTTAAATGATATATCCTCAGTAGAAGTTCACAAAAATTGTCCCATTCTTCACCCCATCCTATGCAACATAAGTCTGTAGTGCTTTCTAACCTGACACTGTGACTGGCAGTATGACATGCTTTGGCCAAAAGAATGTGAAGTGAGGGTGCACCACAGGTAAATGTAAACCTCAAGACACTTGCGTATTTTTGCTTGCTCTCTCACTCCTTTGCCATCGCTGTGAGTACATGCTTGGGACAGCCTCCTGGATGACAGACGTGTGGACCAAGGCCAAATCATCCAAGTCACCCCAGATGAGGCAGTCCACGTAGACAACAACCAGCCAAACCCAGGTGTGCACATGAGCCCAGATACAATAGCAATAAATTCTCATTTGTTTGTTTGTCCTGAGAAGTAATGCGGGTTTTGTTAAAAGCAGTGCTGTAGCAATAGATGAATGACACAGCCACCAAACTGCAATACAGAGATCTTATTTGTATTTTGATTTGAACAAACTGTTAGCGAAATGTGAGTCAACTGGGAAAGCTAAAACAGTGACTGGATATTTATGGACATTATGGGAATAGTCTTTTTTTTTCTGTGCTGACATTATGGAGTTACAGATCTTTTTTTTTTTTTTTTTTTTGCAGCATGACACTGGTATTGTAACTATGTATTTAAAAAGTCCTAGTCTCTTCCTTCAGTGAGTCACAGTAGTAACATTGAAAGATCACTGATCACAGATCACCATAACAAACATAATAATAACGAAAAAGTTTGAAATGTTGTGAGAATTACCAAAATGCGACATAAAGAAAAATTTTTAAAAAGAGTCCTAGTCTCTTAAAGATACATACTGAAATACGATTTTCTTGGATTTGCTTCAAAATAATTTGTGGGCCAGCGCGGTGATAAGAACGGGGAAATAAGATAAGACAAGAATGATCATGAGCTGATAATCACTGAAGATGGATGATGGCTACACAGGACTTAATTATACTATTTCCTCTATTTTTATATGTTTGGAATTCTTCATAGTTGAGAAGACATGAATGGGGAAGAAAAACCCAGACTTTCACCAAAAACAAACAACAAAAACAATAATATATCAGGAGAAAAAAATACCAGTTAGTTGAAATTCAACTGGTTCCTAATAAATATGCCATTTATTCATTCAAAAAATAAGTGTGTGCCTAGCATTTGTCAAGCACTGGGGATATAGGAGTAAACAAAGCAGACAGAAGTAATTGCCATTGGGGAACTTACATTCTACTGAGGAAACAGACAATAAATAAGTACAATACATAATGTATTAGACAGTGATCAGATTTACGGAGAAAAATATAGTAGGGAAGCAGGACTGGAGATATTAGGAGACAGGAGAAAGTAGTTTGCAGTTTTAAAGAGAGGGTGGCCAGGAAGGGGCTGGCTAATACCTTAGCACTTGAGCAAAAATGAGAGGGAAAGTGAATACCTGGTAATTTACATCACAGAAGCAGAACAAATTTCCATTCACTTAAAAACACCAGCCTTGCCCACTCATACTGCAACTCGGCCTTCAGGAATTTTCATCCTTCAGTCTGGGCAATACAGATCTATTTCTCTTTTACTTGCTTCACTCTTGAACACTGAACAGTTACCGGCCATATTTCAAATTTCTCAGGACACCTTGCTGTAATTCTTTATGTTCTATACTCAGGTACATGGCTATCTGAATAAGCTTAGTAAATTACATTTTATACAGAACACAAGCCTAAACATGGAACTGCACACTCTGTCTCTTATCAGGAATGTGCCTCGCACTCCTCATTTAAGCTGCTAGTGTGTGAACCCACGCTGCTGTCCACACTGAGTTGCTGCATCAGATTCCTAACAAAGTCACTGTGCTCCCAACCTTTCCTACTATCTTTTACTAAGACAACAGCCAGAATGATTCGTCTCACATTTAAGTCAACCTTCATCACTCCTCTTTTCAAAACTCTAATACCTCTTTATTTTACTCAGAGAAATATGCAGAGTCCTGACAATGTCCTAAGAGGTGCTACCTGAACTATGTCCCCATCACTAACCTCTGACTAGTTCCCGCCACTCTTGTCCTCATCCATCCTATTCCCGATGTACTGACATCCTGGTGTTCCTCACGTATCCCAGGCA